TTCCTTGCAGACGTTTCATGACCCAACTAGGTAACATCATCAGTGCTGGAAGGGGCATTTGTAGCAAACTCCACTCCCTCTATGTGTGTGTGTGTGTGTGTGTGTGTGTGTGTGTGTGTATAGCATGTGTATATGTGTGTTATGTATGGGTATGGGTAGATATATACTTTTTTGGGGGGAGCAGTCAACAGAATTTCATTTTTTTAAAAAAAAATTTTTTTAATTAATTTTACAATTCAAACAAACCAACAACACATATACAAATGAAAGAAAAGAATGAAAAAAGAAAAAGAAAAAAGAGAGGAAATAGAAAGAATAGAAAGCAATTAAAAACATTCTTTAAAAACAGAATTTAAAAGAATTTAAAAACAGAATTTAATGTTTAATGCGTACCAGTGTGCTCACAGTAAAAAATGACAACAAAAGTTCTCTTCTCTTCTCCCTTCTGGTTTCTTCGTTCTCTTCTCTTCTCTTCTCTTCTCTTCTCTTCTCTTCTCTTCTCTTCTCTTCTCTCCTCTCCTCTCCTCTCCTCTCCTCTCCTCTCCTCTTCTCCCTTCTGGTTTCTTCCCTCTTTTCTCTCTTTTGGTCTTCCCGTCTCTCTTCTCATTTCTTCCCTCTTTTCTCTCTCCTCTCCTCTCTTGGTCTCTTCCCTCTTTTCCCCCCTCTCCTTCCCTCCTCTCCTCCCTTATTCATCTTTCCTTCCCCGCGCCTTTCTCTCCGCAGTACCCTCACTTCCTGAAGCGCGACGCCAACAAACTGCAGATCATGTTGCAGAGAAGGAAGCGGTACAAAAACCGGACTTTCCTGGGTTACAAAACCTTGGCTGTGGGCTTGATCAACATGGCCGAGGTAGGTCAGGCAGTTGGGGAGGTCCAGACGGCAAATGAGCCTCTGGCTCTTTTGCTCGTGGACTTTAAGCTTTCGGAGACACACACACGCACGCACACCGCAATTTGGCGCTCCGTTTGTCGTTGGCAGGTGATGCAGCACCCAAGCGAGGGAGCCCTGGTGTTGGGACTACACAGCAGCGCGAAAGACGTCTCCGTTCCCGTGGCCGAAATCAAAATCTACTCCCTGTCCAGCCAGCCCATCGACCACGAAGGACTCAAGTCCAAATTATCAGGTGCGGGGAGTCCTCGCCCTTACGGCCGGGCATTTAGCGTCCGTTCAGAACAGCGCCGGAAAGTCGGGTCTTACCACCAGTCCTCACACTTAATGACCGTCACAGGCTCCCTGGGAGCGCGGCATCAAAATTCAGGGGCTTGAATGCAGCGGTGTATTTACAAAGGTTGAAGTGTCCCGGGGGTGTGTGTGTTTGTCTCACGATCACCCTTTGCAACGGTCCTAGAATAGAGTAGAGTAGAGTAGGAGTAGAGTAGGAGTAGAATAGAAATAGAGTAGAACAGAGCAGAGCAGAATAGAATGAGAAAATAGAATAGAAATGAGAAGATAAAGAAGAGAAGGTCTCGAATAGAATAGATCGAAGAGAAATAGAAAGAAGGGAGAAAGAGGGGAACTGAAGAGAAGATATAGAATAGGAATAGAATAGAAATAAGAGAAGGAATAGAATAGGATTCAGAAGAGAAGAGAAGAGAAATGAGAAGAGAAAGAAGAGAAGAGAAGGTAAAGAATAGAATAGAATAGATCGAAGAGAAATAAAAATTCCTTTAGCAACCGTGGGGGATTGACTTCCAACAGCCGTCGCGGTTTGCTTAACAGCCGCGGCAAAAAGAGATGGCAAAATCCAGGAAATGAGAGGCACGGTTGATAATCTGGCTTGCTTCCTAGATCGATCCCCTGACATCGATAACTACTCCGAGGAGGAAGAGGAGAGCTTCTCGTCCGAGCAAGAAGGAAGCGACGACCCCTTACACGGGCAGGTAAGTCCAGCATCCTCCTTGCCCGGATGGAGACTTCACCAAGGAGAGAAACCACCTGGAACGAAGGGGACAGGTTCTGACAGTGAGAAGGATGAACCTGGGGAACGGCTTGCCACTAGAAGTTGCGGGCGCTTCAACGCTGGAGGTTTTTTTTTCAAGAAGAGACTAAGCAGCCCTTTGTCCAGAAGGATGTAGAGCAGTGGGGGCTAACCTTTTGGGGCCAAAAATTGTGTGCGCGCTTGCATGCTTGCATTCATGTGCCAGCACCCAGAAGGCAATGTGCCCCACCACCACCATGGCCCCTGTGCATGCGTGCATAATCCCCACCCCACCCCTTACCTGCACTGTGCCTCACAGCTGATTTTCAGCCGGTTTGAGGCCTTTTTCGGCCTCCCAAAGGCTTGAGGGAAGGCTTCCGCAGGCTTTGCAGGCCGAAAACTAGGCCCGTTTCGTCACTTCCGGGATTTTCGGAAAATACCAGAAATGACGAAACAGGGCTAGTTTTCGGCCTGCAGAAGCCTTCCCTCAAGCCTTTGAGAGGCCAAAAAAGGCCTCAAACCAGTGAAAAAGCAGTTGTGAGGCACACGGATGCCCAGTGAGGTAAGTTTGCCGGCACAAATGGTTCTGCGTGCCACCTGCGTGCCATAGGTTCGCCATCACGGGTGTAGCGTTTCCTGCTTGAGAAGGGGGTTAGACTAGAAGACCTCCAAGGTCCCTTCCAGCGGTCTTTATTTCGTGATTCTAACTCCAGAAGGCAAGTCAAGAAGCAACGAACGGAAACAAATCAAGGAGAGAAGCAACCTAGAACTGAGGAGGAATTTCCCTGTCATTAAAACAATTAACCAGTGGAACGGCTTGCCACTAGAAGTTTGTGGGTGCTCCAACACTGGAGGTTTTCAAGAAGAGATTTGTCCAGAATGGCGTAGGGTCCCCTGCTTGAGCAGCGGGTTGGGCTAGATGACCTCCAAGGTCCCTCCCAACTCTTGTTATTCTGTTAATTAATCGGGGGAAACGACTTGCCACCAAAAAGTTGTGGCCGCTCCATCCCTGGAGGCTTTTAAGGAGAGATTATGGACAGCCACCTGTCCGGAATGGCATATGGGATTTCCTGCTCGAGGAGGAGGTTGGACTAGATGACCTCCACGGTCCCTTCCAACTCTGTGGTTCTGTAATTCCGTTATTGTATTTTCCACCTTGGCCTGTTGTCCTTGGGGTTGTTGGCCCTGGCAGACCGGGTAGCGGTGGGATTCTACCGGTTTGCACCTATTCGCTAGAACCGGTTGTTCACATTCTAAGCAGTTCAGAGAAATTACAGGTCTAATCCTGTAAGGAAGGCAGGAAGGAAACATTATGGTGTCGCTTACAGAAACTGCCTCTCTGTTAACCCTTATTCCATTCTTGGCAGGACTAGACTTCCTATCCCAGGAACTTCTCTGGAGTTTTTTTTTCCCTTCCTTTGCTGGTCCTTTGCTTGTGTGGAGCGACCATTCCAAGTTACAATGGCCCTGAAAAAAAGTGACTTACGACCCTTTTTTTCACACTTACGACCATTGCAGCATCCCCACGGTCACGAGAGGCCAGGCGAGGAGATGCGTGCCTCGACGTGAGCGGTGTTGAGTTGGCCACCACCCAGCCAGTCACGTGACCACCAAGCCGCGCCCACCACCTAAGCCACGCCCACAGACCCGGTGGTTAAAAAAAATTTTGAATCCCGCCCCTGAGCCCGGGTCGTATTTTCAGGAGAAAACACGGGGTAGCAGTGAAAATCCTGACCCCAATGGTGACCCGTAGACATCTCAACAAAGCCCAAAACAAAAACCTCTGGGAAGGCAGGCGGCTTGAGTTCTGCAACGGCTTCTCCGTTTTCCTCTCGGCAGGATTTGTTCTACGAAGACGACGACCTGAGGAAGGTGAAAAAACCCAGAAGGAAACTGACCTCCACGTCGGCCATCACTCGGGTGAGTCACGTTGGACGTCGTAGCTAGAGCCCTTAGACTGATACCCCGCTTCACAGGACCTTCTAAGCGGTTTACAGTGTCCGCGTATTTGGCCCCAACAGTCGGGGTCCTCCTTTTACCGACCTCGGAAGGACAGAAGTCCGAGTCCACCTTGAGCCGGTCAGGATCGAACTCCTGACAGTTGGTAGAGCCTGCAATACTGCATTATAACCTTCCTGGGAAGGAAGGAATAGAGGGGGAGGAAGGGAAGGAATAGAACGGGAGAGAAGGAAGGAAGGAATAGAGAAGGAAGGAAAGAATAGAGAAGGAAGGAAGGAATAGAGGGGGAGGGAGGGAAGGAAGG